CAAATGGAAAGAAATAGTGAAAAACTAGTTAAATGGATAGAAAAGCTCACACGTAGTGTAAGAAAAATATACAAAGATATATAACAAAACTATGTAACAAATTTGGCAAAGAAACAGATGTGACTATTTAATATGATAGAAAATACACCTAAAGGACAGATCAGCTAACTGATGGATACTTTTATCTCCATAAAGGTTAATTTTAACAAAAAGAAAATAAACGCAAAAGTTGTTTGTATAGAACTACTTACTTAAAAGGTCCTAGATCAGTAACATACACAAAATATGTAGAGAGACGCAGCAATGTTGAACTACCTTGAATTAACTAGTTGTTTAGACGCGATACCCAATAAAATAGAATAAAAATAAAACATAAGTAAATAAGCGAATTACATCGACGGTAATATGTGCAATGTATAACTTTCACATAATGCATTAACATATTTTTTGAATAATATTGGGCGCCTTTTAATTAGTTTGTAGTTTTTCAATGTCTGTGCAAGAATAATAACGTGAAAACCTAGCAATCATGCCGCACCCTGTGACCAGTTCTGCCCGTTATGAGTGTATAAATCAGACCCAGAAATGACGGTACTATTAGTAATTAATGAAGCGTCGAACTGAGGCTGACGTTTTGCAAGAACAATTATCTTTAATGTGCCACAATGTCCACGGTCGTAGTTTTAATATGGTCAGGGGTCATTATGCGTTGTAAGCAACGGAACTGAAAAGTAGTATTTAATATCCATATAACTTTCCAAAGCGAAATCAACAGTTGATTTTATTGTAAACTTACGTAATCATTCATATATTGCTGTGCATAATGATATGAAGTAAGGAAGTGATACTAAAAGAACATAGACGACGACGATTACTAACGTCTGTTGACCATGAAGTTGTTCCACATAACCTGTTTGCTAAGGCTTGTAAATCCGTTACGCAAAACAAGATCTAATACTGACTAATTTCCAACTAAGAGGAACGGAGAATATTATGGCGTAAACAAGAAAATTCTTCAGAGAATAGTGAGAATAAAATGAACTCTTGAAAACCGCATTCACGCAGACTTGAAATTTCTTGGTCACATCCGTATCGAGCGCTTCTGTCTAATCGCTCGACAATCAATGACTTGCAACAAAATGTTCAAAACAGATTAATCGTTATCCGTCATAACCTAAACTACCATGAAATGATCCCAAAAACGATCGTAAAAAGAACCACGCCTAGAAATAGATTCGTCCTTCACAGTTGCGGTTGTTAAGATTTTTTCTTCTCGACGAGCTTTTAACGATTGCTATAGACATTGGCGTGCATTATTAAATTTAAAACAAAATATATTTTTCGAGTTCACCTGATTCCCATAGACGTTGTGCTGGGTTATGATGTCAAGGAAAAAATTTGGTCCTAGCATAAGTGACTGTGTAAAAATATGACATAGTCACAGTCTTAATTAAAAGAGTTTCTGTAAACCAAAGGCCTGAAAATTTAAAGGTTATTTAATCCTTTGAAATGTGGTAGATTTTTCATAGACCGTTTTGTTTTAAAAACATTTGATTCAGAACTAATGCGCTGAAATAGCGCTTTCAACTTTGTCGGTAAAAAAATGAGTGAACTATATTATTTGTGACCAGTGGAATAACTAGGTGAATATTTATCCAAGATTATAATAATACATGCAAATTGTCACTCCCAAGAAAACGTCGTCACTATCAAATTTATATCAATATGCTATAACTAATATGAAATTCAATTCGAGATTTGTTGCTAGATGGGGTCAAATTTAAGACAAAATGAGAGCGGAAACATATTCGCAAATCAGTTAATTTTAAAATTTTAGACACTTTAAAAACTTGATAGCACAATAACATCTGTAGCCGTAACTGGACAATAAAATATATTTTAGAATTGAGTGCATAATCCAAGCTTAGGACGGTGAGATGTCCAACAGCAATTAAATTTAAACCAGATTTTGCAATCTACGAAAATGGACGTAAATAAATATTAGAAAATCATTTATTTTTTCTACTTTCTTGTCTCTGGGTTAAATGATACATTTAAAGTAATTTTAAATGAAAGAATTCTTATTATTACTTGGGATAATTTGCTTCTAGATGCCACGGATTTTTATAATACTAGTGGGTGATTATTTTGCTGTTTCGGTTTTCAGCGCTCTGTTTTTGACAGATCGCGCGTGACTGAACAGACAAACTGAAATTGTGGTTATTCCACTACGTGAACAATTTTTTTGTCCAGAATACTCAAGCTGAATCTGCTTCTTGGATTTTTAACAAGATTTTGTCACATGGCCACAGCACTGGAATAAATCTCTCGTTTTGAATCAGTCCGTAGCCGCCTAGATCTTGCGATTTGACACCATTGCACTATTTTTTGTTTATGCCGATAAACGAGATTCGTTTCAAACACTAGAAGACAACATCAGACGTGATATCCAGAGAAACCAGGTGATATGCTGGAAAAATATGAAATTTTTAAGCCCCAATAAAAGTTTTAAACCAAACATCTAACTGTACAAACCATGTTGTATCATGGTTTGTGGTTGTATTGGACTTAAAAACGATTTCTCATGCATGTTTAACATTAACCGAAACCCTTCATTTCACAATGAATGAAAAACTCACGGACCAATTAATAAAGAGTTTTGCGCGTATTTTAGTTTTTAGAAAAAAAAATTTTTTATAGGAATTAATGTTAAACAGTAGGCCTTGACCTTTGACAGCAAATTCAGCTTTAACCATTACAATTATTAAAAGAGATCGTGATCCAGCCGCAGACTTAAGCGATATTAATTAAATTCCGCTTGCTCCTATTTCCACAATCACGTTATCAATTAAAACGTTTGAACTGTTTGCGGAATAATATGTTCGATTTGAGTCACGATTTTATGGTGAAATGCTATCGTTACATTCTAATAGTTGGTACGTAACAAACCCGTGAGTCACTATATCACTTCTTCCTAATTAATTCGCACCTTAACCGAAAAGACAATAATTCTAGTATCCTAATCACACAGGCACTTTAATAATGAACAATGGAGTATTCTTGTTAGCAGCAATTAAAAAATTTCACGCGAAAAAATTCGTTGTTGCTCAACAAAGAAAAACAAGATGCAGACGGACGTGGTGCAAGAATACATTATTCAATTATTATAAGTAATCGTCGTGTGTTTTATTCATAAAACGAAGAAACGCACTTAATTGGGTATGGGCGCGTGTTTTTCAATGGTTGCCTGTTTAATGAACTGTGAAAATTTTGTAGGCCACCTTTCATCTAACATTCGGTAAACATGAGCATACCATCTAAGAACTTTGAATTCGACTGTGTCCACGGTGGATCTAGTAACTCCCATTCGATTGTTCCGTACGTGGTCTTTATGACCATGAACCCTATTTTGGCGGCATTAATCCTTAAACCCCATTCTCGATATTCTTCGTTTAACTTCACAATAAAAGCGTGTACATATTTAATTTGCTCCTTTTTGCACAGTATTATCAGGCAATCCCGAAGTTAATATGTTGCTGTATAGTTAGTAACCCGTTAATAACCGTGCTGTTTACATATTAGAATTCCTTTAATCATACCCTAATAATAGATTTCATAATTATTTATTTTATTTCAATTCAAAGTTGAATTAATTACTTTAATTTACTATTACCAATGGACTTTTTTTTGTTGATAAGTAATAGTGAGAAGATTTAAATATTGTAATGTCTATAAAATTCGAGTTCAAGCATACAAAGTTTCCAGTTTATAATGTTTTGAAAATTTGACGAACTTCATCTTCATCATGTGACTTTTCTCATCAAAGGTTGGCTATAACCACAGCAATTTCTTCTTGTCTTTCTGCTGCGAGTATTTGAAAATACATTAAAGTCCATTTTTGGATATTTTGCATCCAAGACTCCTGCCTCGACCTGCCTTTCGTTCAAGTTTACTTTTAGTAAAGTACGCCGATTTGCTTTTCCCAATTATGGTCTTTCTTAGTTCGTGAGCACTAACACGGATTCACTCAAAACATGTTCTGGCCACGATATTCTCACCATCCACATTTCTAGGGCTTCAATTTTCTTCATTGTAGTCACTTTCAGGGCCCAGGATTCCATTTCTTGTTAAATCTCTATTACAAGTACTGCATTTTCGTTTCTGGCTTTATCCTCCACATCCTGTCCAAATCTTCAGCGATCCAACACCCAAGATACTTGAATTTAACTACTTATTGGGTCACTTTATTATTTACTTTTATGTTCATGGGAATAATCATAAATTAAGTGCCAAGAACACTATTCGGTAAGTCGGTATTTGTTCTCGACTCTATTCAATAATTCTAATACAACCGTAACGTCGGGATATCTTGCATTGTTTAAGATCTCCCCATTTATTTTAACCCTTGCTCGCAGTCACAGTCGCAGCTTGGAAGAAGATCTCATCAAGAAATATGTTGAACAAAAAAGCGGACAGAATACTACCGGCCTCATTGTTACCCATTGATATTTATTTTTCCAAAGCCAAATGGTTCATCCCCCATATGGTGTTCACATTTTCGATATACTCAAAGCTGAATTAATTTTTAAATATTTTAAGCAAATGAGACATGAGCCTGAACTATGATTTGTTTCTGTTTTTTCTTAATAAGGTAAACTAAATGGGTTTAGAGATTCTGAAAGAAAAAGAGCTAAAAAAATCTTGCTGGATTTCAATTTAACTCTCAATATGTTTTCCAAGTCATACTTATAAGACCTTATTTAAAAACTTTTAGGGGTGTCTCGCTATATTTAAAATTAAGTAACTGAATATATGACAAGAAATTTTCAATTTCAATGGAAATTTCCGTAAAAAAAACAAAAAAAAATCTCGCTATTTTCCCGTATTGTTAGTTATCCCCACAAAGTTTCTCCTTGTCCTTTTGTTAGGTGGATGTTATAAAAACATTTTTATGATAGTGTTAATATGAACACTAAATATGACGCTGATTGTATTTCCAGTGGTTGCCTCTCCTCATCATAGGAATGGTGTTGATATATAATACTGAAGCCCGCAGAATACGCGTCCAGCGACCATTGCAGCAGGAAGAAGCAGATGAGACAGTGCAGTACTACGCGGCAGAACCTCAAGATGAACAATTAGATCCCAGGCAACGAGTTGTTCTTGTGTCATCCGCTGATCAATACAATGGACTTTATGGACAACCTACAGCTTCATCAAGAAGCGCTCAAGATAATTATATTCCTCGAGGATCCACCAAATCACATGAGGCAAGTTACAGAACCAAAGAACCGACCAAGAGCCCCCCGGTGCAAACGATAAGGTAAGCAAATATAGATTAAGTTCGTTCAAGTTCTTATAATTGGTTTCATTTCAGAAACTACAGCAAAGTAAATGACGACGGATCTTTTACATTTGGTTACGAAGCTGCTGACGGTAGTTTTAAAGAGGAAACTAGAGGAACTGACTGCGTCGTTCGCGGGAAATACGGATACGTGGACCCTGATGGCAATAAACGGGAATTTACATACGTTTCAGGTAAAACGATTAGCGACATCCTCAGCTCGAGATTTAATACACATTTTAGGAAACCCATGCGATCCAAATGCACCTAAGGAAGAAGAAGAGGAAGTTCCTGAAGAAGAGAGCAACGACAACGCAAATCTTCCTGCCAATTATCCCACTCGCCCAGTTAGACCGATTCATAGACCAGTCAGTGCTGTAACAGCTAAACCAGTAAGCCTATTCCAGACAAACTACGAACAAAGCGAAGACGAGCAACCTGAACCCGAGCAAATTCTCAGGCCAACTCCTACGGTAAAGCGATAAGCACCTATTTTTGCAAATAACCAATTTATATTTAATTGTTCGCAGCCTGTCCGTCAACAGTACTTTTCTCGTCCACAATATATCCAAACTTCAGCCGCACAAGCCGACCAAATCTACCAAAGACCACGAACGCAAACCAATACACCGGCCCCGTCAATATACAGGCAATCTCCCCAACCAGTCTCCATCACCCCAAGACCACAAGTAGTGTCCGCAACCACCGCGACGAGAACACAGCTTCCTGCTACTACGTACAGGCCCCAGCTTCTTCAAGTTGCAGTTACCCCAAGACCGAGTTTGTTGTACACCAAGCAGTTAACCTCACAAACTGCTACCGCTGCTCCAAATAAGCAAGTAGATTTCGACTCAGAATTTCAGAGATTCAACCAGGAAAACCTGGTGTCTCCGACCGCCATCACCTACAGCCAGCCTGTAACGGCTAAACCACAGTCAACTTTGGGGCAGATATACTCTTCAGCTTTAGTTTACGACCCCGCGTCAGGCCAATACAAGAATCAACTTTACCAAAGCCTCCCTCAAACCGAAGGGGATTTCACTTTAACACAACGCATTCAGCCTTACGTATACCAGCCTCAATCCCAAAGAACGACACTACAGCAAACCGCTCAAAGACCTAAGCAAGCGAATCCGCAAGCAGTATATCAAGCTCAGCAAGCAGAGCAGCTGTTCCAAAGTTCGGCGCAGCTGTATGCTCAGCAACAGAAAGCGAGGGCGCAGCAACAGCAGCAACAGAGGCAGGCTCCCCCCGTTTATTACGTTCAGCCTTCCGTCGATCAGACGGGTGCCCTCGGAACAAGTCAGATAGATGCGTTCTTGAGGGGTCATAATATTCAGTTTTAGATAGTACCACTATTGTTGCGTTTTTCAAACAAGAGGAAGATGATCGCCTAGCGAACGAGTGTCGCAGCGTATGTAAATTTAAGCGAACGTCCTTTCCCTCGAACATGTTTAGAGAGATTGGAGACGTAGATTAACGTTTGATGTGCAGATAAAAACCAAACGTCCTACGTTTTAAGCGGTATTGTTTAAAACGTAGAAATCGTTGGCCGACTTTCTTGTTTGATTATAAAATTTACCATATTTACCACTGCGGTACTGATATTTTCTCCTATTGTTTGAAACGTAATCGTAAAAACATCCATTGAAAAAGGACTGATTTCGTGCACTCCGAACTCTAAGTAACACACTAGCGGCCTCTACGAACAGCCCATTGGGGAAAGTGTTACGCCCAGACAATCGCGCCATCCAGTTATACAAGAGCAATCGACCCGAATTTGCAACACGTGTGTTTATTTCACTTCACTTTTCTTGCTGTGTCGCAGGCGGTTAGTAAATGTACATTTTGCGGATCACTGGACACTAATCCCATTTAATAAGTCGGAGGGAACTAGTTCAAATAACCGAACTAAATATATCCATATATTGTGATGCAATGCACTGTTGGTTGTTCAAAGTTATAAACATATACATTTACCAACCGACTAAAATCTGTTCAATCGTTCGATGCATCGTGATGCCTTTCAAGGTCACAACTTTTGCAGACCCCACCTGCGATATGACCCTGACGAAGAACGTTTATCGTACAGGGCGTTTCTGAAGCATAAGCACTTAAATTTTAAACTTTACTTCGATGTGGTCCAACATCTTTTTCTACTTAACGTTCTGGTACACCATAACAGGTCGTACCGTTGCCATATCAACCATTCTATTGTTTTTATATTTCATTCGTTTTAGAAACACTCTGTATTTAAACTTAGAAGATTACCCCTAAGTATATTAATCCTGTTTATATATTTTTTATAAGTATAATAATTTATTTTTACACTGGGTGCCTATAAGAACGTCTGTACTTGCACATGTGTATTTCCAAATTGTAGAGGCGTTTTTGCGTCAATCAAATAATACCACCAGTGAGCAAACTTTGAGACTATGTGTTATTAAAATAATCACATAAGTCATTGTTTATGTTACTGTATATATCTATCCACGCGTAGCATAATTAGCATATAGTTACACATATTTTTTATTAAGTCTACTTACAATTAAATAAAAGTTATTCGAATTTTGGAATGTAGTTTCCAGTTATTTTATTATTCATCTAACGCATGGAGTTGCGTAATTCACCATTTCCTCGTAATATATTTTCCGGACAACTGGAACACTCCAAACGTACCAACAACAAGAAAATTTCTCAAAGGACTAAATAAAAGTGTCTTCCCTATGGACACGTAAGTCAAACCAAATATGATACTAACGAGGTATTTCGAGCAAAAAGATTTTCAACTACACCTTAGCGACACAGAGTAAGTACTCGCCGTTCTCAAATATGGAAATAACAAAAAAAATGTCTTAGCTGTCCAAGTACAAGTTGATCTTCGCTCTCCTGACTGAAGAATAGTGTCATCTTTCTTGAGACCAAAGATTTTATTGTTAGTATTTTAAGGTAATATCACAAATACTTGTATTGTATTATTACTGTGTTTTTATGAAAGTTCTTTTCATATAATTCTTGCAGTATTAATTTATAATTTATGGAAAAACATCAATTTCCAGTATTTAGATATCAAAATAAGCTTTAGATATTTTTTCTGTGGAATCGAAAAAATGCTAAATATAAATAATATATATTCAGGATTTTTTAAATTATCAAAGAAAGATGAGGTAAGCCACGCCCCATTAGCAACTAACTACATTCCATAGAATTTTTTCATATCTTCTATATATTCTATATATTTTATAAAAGGTGTGAAAAAATTGTATGGAATGTAGTTAGTTGCTAATGGGATACAGGGCGTGCCTTACCTCATCTTTCTTTGATAATTTAAAAAATTCTGAATATATATTATTTATATTTAGCATTTTTTCGATTCTACAGAAAAAATATCTAAAGCTTATTTTGATATCTTAATACTGGAAATTGATGTTTTTCCATAAATTATAAGTAAATACAGCGAGAATTATATGAAAACAACTTTCATAAAAACACAGTAATAATACAATACAAGTTCTATAGGCAGAAAAGATGCGAAACTAGAACTCTATTTGGAACGCACCATCTTGACTTACGAAACTGTCACTCATAACCAGTGTCACTTGTTTTAGATAAGAAGACCGACTCGAACTACGGCTTAAAAGGTAACAATGAATAGTTTCAACCATTGTTGGATCCAGTGCAACCATCCCAAAGAATTTGTTAAATTACTTATTTGATTTGGAACCCAACAAATATTTCTACTGGGAATTGCAGAAATCAGAGTTACTTACAACAACTTGAACTGTTAAGAAATTTGTAGGACACGAGAACATGGTCAATAACATCACATCGAAAAGGGTCCGATGGTGTTGGATATCTAACCACTATGAAGTTTACAAATTCATACTTACATATGTGAAAATAGCAGATACCAATGTTTATTACTAAAACTAAAATAAATCAATTCACCTATTTCGTGCAGTAACAAGTAAAAGAATTAAGGAAACTGACGCGCCAACAATATAAAAAACATAAATTATTATCTAAGATATAGACTAATTGATTTGTAACTAAAATATTTTCTACAGCCAGGAAGTTTTATACATGTCTTGAAACGCACGATGTTAAAAGTGGGTTAACAAATATTATATAGCGAAAGTCCTAAGCAGCCTCAATCACCCTAGTTCCTTGTTCAAAAAATAAATGTGATCGTCAATACGAAGATTAAATTTAACACTTAATATATTTTTAGTTTAAAAGTCCAAACGTAATGTTGCTTGTGTAACTTAAAATTTAAATAAGATTTGTAAATCTTAAGCCGATTTAAATCGAGATAACAATAATGATAGTTAAATTTAAAACACTAGTAATTCTTGACAAATAGCGAATGCGAGGTACGTTGAACATTAAAACTACCGATTTCATTTTTGCTTTTAATAATTACAATAAAATGTCAATCTTCTTCTGCTCGAAAAAGAAGTCAATATACCATTTTAAATTATGAAAGTGTGTTGTATGTATAATATTAGGTTTTTACAGTAGTCACAAAGACAGCATTTTTAGGAGGTACCAGCAAGTCACTGTAAAATATTTATTATGTGATTATATATATATATATATATATATATATATATATATATATATATATATATATATATATATATATATATATATATATATATATTTGATTTCAAAGGATATCGGGTAGCGGTCCGTGGTTAAACAAAAAAAACAAAGAAAATAGAAAGTTCCTTTTTCTTTAACACTCAATATTTCGTCAATTTATTTGTTGACTTCTTCAGGAGTGAACTAAAATTTAATGAAAACAACAGGTCAAACTATATAACTGACAATTAAAACAATCGTGAGAAATACTTACAAAATTAGAGTCTACCACATAGTTCCTCAAAACAATACTTTACAGTTAAGGTAAATGAACGAAGCGACATAATGAAACAAACGGATAAACACTTAGTATACAATTCTTAATAATGGTAGGCAAAAGCTGCGCTAACGGGGGTAGCGAAAAAAAACAATCAAAACACAATCGATATAAATAATGACAAAAAAGCATAAAAATAACCCGTGGATCAACAACGCAACGCGAATACGCTACTCGGTGGCCGAATATTACATTATCTGTTCTGTATCAGACTTGTAGTTAATTGAAATTTTATTTTTGTTAATATGGCACATTTCAAGAAACAGTCGGGCTTCATAATTGTTGGCACATTGCAAAATTTTAGGATTGCTGTAGTCAAATTCATGTCCTGTTTTTATGTAATGCTCAACCACTGCACAAGTATCATTATGAATACGGCAATCACTTTTGTGCTGTGTTAAACGTTGCTTTAGCGACTGTGAGGTCTGTCCGATATATGACATTAGAGTTGTATAGTAGCGGAGTTGGATCTTTCACCATAGAAAAAAGTTTCGAGACTTTTTTAGTATTATATTTGGCAATTTTTATTTCCTTGAATTCTTTGAAAATATTTATGATAGATTCTATGAAGTTTTTAATATAAGGTATCTTTCTGTAACACATCCGAGCGCCTGGTTCCTCTGTTAGACCGTCAAATGTGTAGGAGTTATAGATTAATCTCTTAAATATATATTTTGGATATCCGTTATTGACAAAACTGTTGAAAATTTTTTTCAGGTTATTTTGAACAAAACTGTCATGGCTCAAATGTGTAACTCTGTTTTTCATGTCTAATTGTATTATATTTTTGGCTCTGTGGATGAGAGGAATAATAATTAATAAATCTACCTGAGGCAGTTTCTTTCTGGTACGAATCCAAAATAATTTCATTTTTGTTAGTTCTAATAACCTTGGTATCTAAGAAGGGGACGTATGAGCCTTTTTCAAGTTCAATTGTCAATTGTAGGTTGGTGTTGAAAGAATTAAAAATACTCAAGGTTATATCTGTTTGGTCACATGGTACCGCACAAAGAAGATCGTCAACATATTTATAAATAAAAGGTAAATTGAAAGGTAATTTGGGTATAATTTGTAGTAAATTGTCCAATACTAGGGTAGCAATTATTGGACTGATGGGAGAACCCATTGGGGTACCAAAAATTTGTTTGTAGAATTTTGAATTGAAACTGAAATAGGTGTTATCAAAAATAAATTTTATAAGTTTGAAAAAATTTGTCTTTGTAAGATTAGTGTGTTCTTTTATCTTTTTCCATTCATTATCCAAAATCTGATTTACCAATTCGAGAGGAATATTAGTAAAGAGCGACACGACATCCAATGCAATCAAAACATAATTGTCAGGGAGTACGTAACTGTTGATCATGTTGGCAAAGGTAAATGAATTTGTTACATTATAGTCATTTGTATTTGTAATCGTAGTTTTAAGGATATAAGCCATAAATCTCTCTGACAGTTTTGTTCAAAATAACCTGAAAAAAACTTTCAACATTTTTGTCAATAACGGATATCCAAAACATATACTTAAAAGATTAATCTATAACTCCAACACATTTGACGGTCCAACAGAGGAACCAGGCGCTCGGATGTGTTACAGAAAGATACCTTATATTAAAAACCTCATAGAATCTATCATAAATATTTTCAAAGAATTCAAGGAAATAAAAATTGCCAAATATAATACTAAAAACATCTCGAAACTTTTTTCTAGGGTGAAAGATCCAACTCCGCTACTATACAACTCTAATGTCATATATCGATTGTCGTGTTTGGGTTGTCAACAGACCTCACAGTGGTTAAAACAACGTTTAACACAGCACAAAAGTGATTGCCGTATTCATAAGAATACTTGTGCAGTGGTTGAGCATTACATAAAAACAGGACTTGAATTTGACTACAGCAATCCTAAAATTTTGCAATGTGCCAACAATTATGAAGCCCGACTGTTTCTTGAAATGTGCCATATTAAAAAAAATAAAATTTCAATTAACTACAAGTCTGATACACAGCAAACAAGCAATATATACTGTAACATTTTTCAGTTAAACAACAGATAATGTAATGTTCGGCCACCGAGTAGCGTATTCGCGTTGCGTTGTTGATCCACGGAGTAGGTTATTTTTATGCTTTTTTGTCATTATTTATATCGATTGTGTTTTGATTGTTTTTTTTTTTCGCTACCCCCGTTAGCGCAACTTTTGCCTACCATTATTAAGAATTGTATACCAAGTGTTTATCCGTTTGTTTCATTATGTCGCTTCGTTCATTTACCTTAATTGTAAAGTATTGTTTTGAGGAACTATGTGGTAGACTCTAATTTTGTAGGTATTTCTCACGATTGTTTTAATTGTCTGTTATATAGTTTGTCCTGTTGTTTTCATTAAATTTTAGTTCACTCCTGAAGAAGTCAACAAATAAATTGACTAAATATTGAGTGTTAAAGAAAAAGGAGCTTTCTCTTTTCTTTGTTTTTTTTTTTTTAACCACGGACCGCTACCCGATATCCTTTGAAATCAAATAAGTAAGTTTAGTACAAGAAATTCCAAGTCCAATATATATTTATATATATATATATATATATATATATATATATATATATATATATATATATATATATATATATATATATATATATATATATATATATAT